CACACACACACACACACACACACACACAGGTGTAAACATGGGGACCTCTGTGCAGACTTTAACAGGACATGAAGCCGTACACGTAAAGGTTATTTACATCACCGCTCACACAGACGTAACAGACGTTTAAAAACACGTTTAGCGCCGTCTTCGTTAATGACAATTTAACGTCAGTAACCCGGCGACGCCGCTCGGTGTAAAGGCGTAACTTTCTGTCGCTCTGCGGTTTCATCACCAATACAACAGGTGGCGCTGAGGTTTCTCTAAGCTGAAGAAGTCGCAGGAGGAAACACAATATGGGGCGGGGTTTGTGGTCACGACGCACCTATCCGGTCGTTAAGTGATCACATGATGAATCCTACTTCCAGGCCTAAAGTAGTCTGCGTTTAATATGTTTTTGTGTTGTTAACATGTTTAATGTTTTGTATTTTCTTCTATTTAATCTCAAAAAGCTCCTAAAACAGTCAGTGATCACTGTTGACCTCCCTCGGCTTTTATTACTGCTAATCATTTATTTAAGCTCAGTTTTAAAACCTTAGGATGTAACTACAGCCCAGCCCATGCAGCAGTATATGAATGACTAACCTCGTATTGTGGATGGATTATCTCAGTTGTTCTCCTGACTGAAGTTTGGTCCTTTTACAGCATCCTGCCATGCGATTACATTTGTTCCTGACCACCGAGAACACTCACGTTAACTTTTATCGAGTGGAAAAAAAGTTAGCTTGTTTATATTATGCTAACATAGCTGTGTCGCTAGCGGTCACGTAGCACATCTTTATATACCAGCTAGCCAAACTTCAGTAACCCTACAAACATCACTGCTGTTTAGTTTTCTGTCTTCATTTATGTTGGAAGTGATAACAGAGCTGTACGTTTGAATTTGTTTCCAAAACCCCCACAGTCAGGACATGCTATATTGTATTTAGATAGAAGCTAGCGAGCTAACTTCCTGCTAACTTCTAACTCCGTTAAATGTCATAAATTCCGTTTTCATGGATGCCTGGATGTTAAACTCAATTGTTACACCTGGTAGAGCAGAACGCTGATCATTTTATTAAAGATGAAAGACTTTAGACAGTTTTCAACTCTCAGTAATGCCATAGTGATCGTTTGATGGAACTGCAGCGAGTTTAGGCCCAGACACGGCTAGTGACGTCAGACTGAACGACCGGATAGCATCGATTTAACACACAGCTGTGACTCCCTCATTACTCTGAACCCACAACAAAAACACATCTGAGCCGCTCTGGATGACACAGAGCGAGCCCCTCCTTCTCCTGCTCATAGCAGCCAATCTGCAGGTGAACGTGTGACAACGACGCCCTCATCCAGCGTTAACCCTCGTGACACTGGAGACGGCTGAAGGCCAGCGGGGTCATGACCCCTGGAGGATGGAAGGAAGTTCAAATTAAAAGTGAGAGCAGATAAATGAAGGCGGGGGGACGAACTATCGACTCGCGGAAAAAACCTCACAACACGTCTGGAAATGGAGTCTCTGTTAGCGACGCGGCGGCGGTCCGCTGGCCGGTTACCTGCTCTCCAGCCCGTCGATGTACTCCTTCCTCCGCCGCCGGCTTTCCTGAGCCGACTGCTTGTTGCGGATCTTCCTCCGGACCTTCTTCAGGATTCTCTCCTCGGCCTGTGAATAAAGTTCGGTTCAAAGTCAGCAGCGTGCACCTGACACAGAAACGCTGCGGCCTGAGAGCATCCGTGCACCCGACCTTGGTGAGGGGGAGGTTGCTGGGCAGCGACACGCCCTCCTGGGTCAGCAGCTTCTGCTCCTCCTCGGTCAGCTGAAGATCCAGGCACAGCTGCAACACAAGAAGGAGAGAGAGTCGTTAGGGCGGAGCCTGACGAAGGACGAAAAAAAACAAAATCAGAGGCTCACCAGGTCGTCGTCGAGGCTGGGAGGAGGGATGGCGAGCCGCGGCGCCGAAACCACAGGTAGCTCGCTCACGACGCACGAGTCCGACAGCAGCAGCTGAGAGCTCCACTGATCTGCAGAGAGAGCGCACCACCATTAACAACGCCACTCCTTCCTGTTTCTGCCACGCTTACATCACACTGTCGATTTTTTCTTTTAAATGGGTGGAGTCACAGTTTTTGGCTTCACACCAGGTCATTTAACAGGAAGCTGAAGTTTCGTGCCGTGAACGCCACCTAAAACTATTAAACAATGATCATCATCGTTCCAAACGTCACCAGCAGGGGGCAGTGTTTCACCCGTGTGCAAAACCAGCTCGCAGTTTCACATCAGAATGAGTTCGTAATTAAATTCAATTAACTTTGTTCATGTAGCGCCAAATCACAGCAGCAGTCACCTCAAGGCGCTTTATATCGTCAAGACCCTCCAAACATAGAGACAAACACTCAAGCACTTTGGCGACAGTGGGAAGGAAAAACTCCCCTTTAACAGGAAGGTACCTCCAGCAGAGCCAGGCTCGGGAGGGGCGGGGCCATCTGAGGGACCACTGAGCTGGGCATCATCTGCATAGCAATGAAAATGTATGCTGTAGCTTCTGTTAATACTCACACGCCCCCTGGTGGAGACACCTGGTACTACATTAAAGTTTCTCAGCATGAATCATCTGCTGATGCTTTAATTAAACTTTACTTTAATTTAATTAATTAAACAAACTTCTTTAAGCTCAGTCGACGCGAGCATGAAGTGAGCTGCTGCTGCTGAATGTCGCCTGATTCGTCGACTCCTGAACAGCAGAAACAAAGCGTGGCCTCACCGAGCTCGATGGAGATGATGTTCTCCTGTCCAGCTCCAGTCTTAGCACCGCCCAGCCCGCTGATGTCATAAACCAGCTGGTAAACTGTCGTTGGCGCCAGCTGGGTGCCCGCTGCAGTCACCGTGGTGACGGGACTCTCGACGGCGGGGTCCTCGGAGATCCCGCTGTCGCTCTCTGATGACGGGTCAGCCGGTGGCCCGCTGGGAAACACCTCGTTTGGATCGACGGCGTGGAGGACGTCCTCGGAGTCGCTGTCATTGAGAATCTGATGAAGGTCACATTTTACACAGTCACGAACAGCAAGGCCACATCAGACATGGAAAAACTCGCCGCCACTTCAAAGTTTCACATAAACACTTCCTCTCTGAGTGGTCATGTGATCACAGACACTCACACACTCGGGGTCCACCGCCCAGTCCTGCAGGGGTTTCTCTGAGCCGGCCGGGATGAGCTCTGAGGAGGAGAACGGACCGTCGAGCTGCCAGCTCCCGGACGCCATGACGCCGAGAAACAGCTCCCCGCTCTCTGCATCCATCACCTGCAGACACAGGTACACACCTGGATCAGTGCCAGACAGAGTGGGGGAGGGGGAGGAGCAAGAGGCGGACACTGTGTGGGAAAGCAGAGCAGAGGTCAGAGGTCACAGATGAGGCTCTTCAGCTCGAGTTCCTGAATACGACACCTTCACTGCTCTGAAAGCCTGAGACGCTGCAGCAGTGTGCATCTGTGTGGGTCACATGACCTAGCAGCAGCTGACAAGCAGACAAAGCAGGTGTGTGTGTGTGTGTGTGTGTGTGTGTGAGTGTGCAGGTAAAGCAGCTCTGAGGAGGACATCCTGGTAGGCACACACCCAAACGCGCACACCTGAGCTGAAACCTGATAGGCTGCCAAACCTGTTTCTCTGCAAACAAGCCCGACCTGTCCGGCGTCTCTTAGCTTCCAAACACGACAGCGAGGAACCTGCCGACTGAGACCGCCTCCGATTTACCTGAAGTCACATGAGCTGATCAATAAAACAGCCTCACGGGTGAATCCAAGTCGTGCTTCAGAGGGAAACGCTCCGAGCCAGCCTCAGCTGTACCCGCCACACCTACATCATCACCTGTTGTCCCAATTATGGTCTAGAAAAGGTCTTCCTGTTAGACTGTACGTAAAAGATGGACACCAGCTGCAGTCCAGCAGTGATCCCTCAGACCCTCAGGTTAAAACTTTACAACATGTTTACAGCCCGCTACGGCAGCCCGCGAGCGCCCAAAGAAACCACAAGTTTCTCCTGCAGACTGAGCTCCACTGGTCGTTTGGTGGCTGCAAACAACCGATGACATCAACAATCAACGCGGTCAGTGTCACAGCAGCCGTGTCCATCTTTGATATACAGCCTTTGCAAAGTCTCAGCTTGAGACGAACATCACAAAAACACACCAGGTGAAACCCCCCCCACCCAGAGCTCCATCACAGCCAGGGTGGAGCAGAGCTCATCCAGCCGGACTCATTGACCAATGAGGTCCTCGCTTACTTTAGATTACTCAGTCAGAGATGAAGGTAAACTCACCTCCAAAACAAAGGGTCCAAGCTCCTACTGTCTACCCAGGAGAGGGTCGAACTGAGCATGTGCAGACTCCCACTGGTCACACCTGCAGTGACACTTATGACTTCTCATAACAACACACTCCTGTACTTTTACTGTAACAGAGTACTGTAACAGAGTACTGTAACAGAGTACTGTAACAGAGTACTTCTCTCACTCTTCCTCTTTGTGTGCCATTCAAAAACTTTCCAGGACTCTCCAGGCGCGGTCCCGGTCGGACCGGAGGAGCAGCAGAGGATACTCACAGCTGACACACGGAGCTCTGCTGGTGTCGTTTCCGGTACAAACGCTCCGGATCTTCATCAGCGGTGCTCCTCCTCCTCC